CTTAATGAGGGCCAAACAACTTTTTGAGTTCTTAGGGATGTAGGCATTTCTCTCCCTCTGGATTTGGTCACATCCTACTTGCAGAAGTTTCTGCTTTGGTCATCTTTCATCATCACAGAAATATAACTCTAATAGAAACAAATGATTCCTACATGGGTCCAGAGTTCCAGGACCATGGCTGAAATTCAACCCTCAGGTCAACAAAGTTGCCAATAACCCTTTTGGGGGAAAAAAAATCTGTTATTTGGCTTTGACTATATCCAGGTCTAAAGTCACTAAAGAGGAGAGAGTTTGGAGATCTGGCTGGATTTGAGAAGGAAGCCTGAAGCTTCCCTCTTAAAGCAGAGACTTTGAAGGATTTTTAAGAATGGATGGAAGTTCCCAAATCATTCCATAAAATATAGCCATAAGGATCTGCTTTGTATTCCTGTCCTTCTGTCAATCAAATATACAGCTGTAAATTACTTCTCTCTTGACTTAAATCATACTTTTTTCTATCATAGAGCTTGTTTTTAGAGACCATAAACTCAATACTTTACCTTCATGGACTCTATAGAAAAGACATTGCTGCACTGCACTTGGTCTACCTAAAGCAAATTACCTTTCTAGTACAGTTTTATACAAATACAGCATTAATGCTGAATTTGTCCTTCAGATATGTGTGTGTGTGTGTATATATATATATTCCATTTACCAGTGTCAAACCAAGCTAGGTGATTCAAAGGAACTTTCCCTACCTCAAACTTAGATGAAATAGCAGAAATACCTTATCACAAGTGCCCAGGAATGATGCTGACTATACTAGGAGCTGTGGAAGGGGCTGTAAAAAAAAAAACCCATGACAAGAAAAATTTCTTCTTCTGTTTCATACTTGTTCTCTGAAACTTGGGGTGAGTATACATGAACAAATCTGAGTGCGTTTATCAAATGTAGCTTACTGGGTCTCTCCTCAAGAGTGTGTGATTCCTATAGGTCTGAGACACTGAGAATTCCCTTTTCTACCTAATTCCTAGGTAGAACATATTGCAAAGCACTAATCATTTCTATAAAGAAGGTTTAATTCCTCTCTAAAACACTTAACAACCCCTTGAAACTCTCTCTTAATACATTCCTTTGATGTGACCAGGTAAAGTAACCTTATAACGATTGGGCAGCTATAGGAAATATTGTTCTGAATGGTTTGTTTTTTCAGATCTTTCCAATTCCGAGACACATAGTCATATTCTAAAATCAATTCCATCATGTTTAGCTGCAGTGAACTTTGCTTGACCTGCATATGTATGCCTTCCAGAGACTCCTGTCTCAAGTCCAAGCCTCCTGTTTGGCCACAGAAAGCAGCTGCCATTATGGATTCAGGCCAGGCAGTGTTCATTTTGTTAAACAGGCAACACTCAAGAAGCCTGCAAATAACATTGCAAATAAGTAAGGCAGCAATTTTGCATCTGTTCTGTAGTCCCATTAATTTTCTTAACTAGAGTTGAGCAGAGCAAGCAAGTAGCTTGGCCCCCTTTCCCATCCTTCACTAATAGTCACAAACCTTCTGTCGTGATATAAAAGCTGCTTATACTATCATTAGCATCTGGTTTTGGCTCGCTTTAAACTTACTGGTGATTCTGCATTTTCCCTGTGCAGAAAGTTTCTCTTCTGGCTGAACAAGTCTAGCTGCATCTTTCTAGGCTTTTAAGCTGGAGCAGCCTCAAGGAGAAAGTATCTTGGAGCTTTTCCACCTCCCAAATGGGCTGAGCATGGCTTTCTAAATGGCAGTCAGAGCCCTTCTCCTCAGCAGCAGGGCCTTTCAGATTGTCCCAAGAATGAAAATAGAATTAGAAGTTTAGCCTGAAGCTGACTCAGTGCTCTTGAAACAATGGAAGGAAGAAGTTCTAGGTCTGCTGGTCTCTCCAAAAGCAGCCCGGGTCTTAGTTTCACATGTTGAATGACCCACATTGGCTTTCAGTCTCAGAGAAGGAAACTTCCCCTTGGCATCACAGGGAGCCAGCTCTCCTGGAGCACTCTTCCTAGGAACTCTTCTATATGCTAACATTCCCTTGTCCTTTTGCTCATTTCCAAATTTGCCCTAGTGTCAGGCATAGTTCTAAGCCATGGAGATAGGAACATAAAATCTATGTGTTCAAGGTGATCTTATTCTAACAATAAAGACCAGGAAAGAGAAATACTAGAAGAATGCACAAGTGCTATGAGGTATTACAAAAAATCCCTAAGCCTGGGGATCCTTCAAAGAGATCTGGGCCAAATTTTGAACTCAGATGAAAAATTCCTTAGTAGAACAAATGGGAGAAGGATGTCTGTGTAGAGGGAGCAAGCATGCAAAGGTTGATGATATTGCAAAAGTACTATTCAAGGTCCTGTGGCAATTCTATGGTGAGTGAATTCAGAGTGGGGACTGGAAGAGAGGCTGGTGTGTCTCACTGGAGAAGTAGAGGTTCTGGCTCCACTCTTGAAAAGGGGTTGTGTTTTGTTCTTCATGAGTTAGGAAAGCATGAACAAGCTTTAAGGAAGAGAGAGTAACTTTTTCATGTTGATGTTTTTAAAAAACATTCTGGGAAGAAAACAGAAGGGATCTCTGCGTTGGCAGCACTGGTGCAAAATAAGCGTGATGTGACAAGGCGAAGTCTGGGTCCCAAGCAGGAGAACCGTGTAGGAAGAAGCTATTGTTATGGAAAACTGGGGCCTTTCTTGGGTGCATGGCAGTAGAGGGCCTGGGACCCTTGCCTTGTGGAGGGTTGAGCCTAGATGGGCTCTAATTTGGCTCAAGGGAAAGAGAAAAGTCGACTATAACTCAATATATCTTTACTCAAGGTACCCATAAAAGGCTTTCTAAATGAGCTAATGTTATCACCTTTTAAAAAAATATTAAGTTTCAACTATATACAAAAATAAGGATAAATAGTGTGACTTGTCCTCATTCATCTCTCAGCAATCAATTATTAACTGAAAGCCAGCCTATACTCCCAACATAGTTTTATATCCCACCAAATTATTTTCAAGAAATTCCAGGCACATTGTCATTTCTTCTGGCAAATACTACTTACATATCTCTGAAAGAAAGGCTCTTAAAATACATAATGTAGTAACATCATTTCATTTAAAAATACTAGCAATAATTCTTTATATTATCAAATATGCACATTGTAATCATATTTTTCAAGAAATAGGATTGTGTAATGTGTACACACATACACACATATTGAGAGAGCATGTGCTTTATTTTAAAGAAGAGTTGATTTGTTTGAATTGGGTTCCCCAAAGAGCTCCTTCAGTTATAATCTCCCTTAGCTATAATGTCTTGATTACTTTTTCAATTCTGTTTTCTGGCAATTATTGAAGTCAGAAATAGCATCCATTTCTGTCATGATCTAAATTCACCATTACATTATCCAATTGCTTCTCCATGTATAGAACCTGTCCTTCTTAATAAAAATGTTACCAATTTCTTGATTTTTCTTCTGGAACTATCTAACCTCCTTACATGCCCTAACAAGTGTTTTCTCCTGGTATGCCACCTAGTTAATTCTCAGTGTGAAGTAGATCATGTTGAGATGAGCAGAGCAGGAAGTGCTGGTGAGGGCTGCATTACAAAACTCCCAGTCTCTGACCAGGAGTAAAGTAAATGCTGACCATTGCTCCCCACATTACTCCATGGACCTTTCATTTTATATTCCGCCTAATTCTTCACTACACACACAGATAATTGAATTGTTAACTCAAGCTTTTCTTTCATTTCTTACTTTAGTGTTTCATATCATAAATGAACAGCTGCTCATTGCAAAAGAAAAATAAAACGTGTGTTAATACTTCACCATGATACAGTTTGACTGTAAAAGCTGACTCTTTTGTTACAGTAGCTACTGGACCATTTCATTGGATCCTTAGGTACAGAAATGAAACAGCTACTTAACCTTTCACAGCACCCAGGCCCAAGGAATAAAAGAATCATTCAGAAACTTTGAAACCTGTCATAAACAAATACGATCCTTTGAATTCTAAGACTAAGTAATGCAACCTTCTGGCCCAATGAAAACACCCATCACCTTCCAAGTGACCCATGACATGGCCAATGATTATGGTAGACCATATTCAGAAATACTTTCCAAATAGCACATGGTGACATGGCAGCCTAGTATAGACCACTGAAATATAGTGGCTCCTTATATTACTAGCAGAGGAGAGATAATCATTTTAGCCTCTGTTTGAATACTCAGGAACTGATCAACAGGACTAAGGCACTGTGGAATGGTATATACAGGGGATTCAAAGTAACAGCTTCCAAGCCCTCCTTAAATGCCACCATTGAGCCAACCCTGAGCCACATCTACTTTCCTGTATTCATTTGCATATAAAGCTCAGAAATGGAAAACCCATAGCCGAATCTCTTGTTTGTAACTGACCACTCTCAAAATACCTCCTAGTCACATGTTTATTCTGTAGATATTTACCACATATGTCACAAAAGATGCTGGGCAAACACTGTGCTAGGCAAAGAGCACTCAAAACCATTAAGAGTTCTACAGTCCTTGCAGAGGAATCAGTCACAGGTTTAAAACCTAAGTCTGGCTGGGCACCAGTGGTTCACACCTGTAATGTTAGCTACTTAGGAGACTGAGATCTGAGGATTGCGGTTCAAAGCCAGCCTGAGCAGGAAAGTCCATGAGACTCTTATTGACAATAAACAACCAGAAAACCAGAAGTGACACTGTGGCTCAAGTGGTAGAGCACTAGCCTTGAGCTGAAGAGCTGAGGGACAGTGCCCAGGCCCAGAGTTCAAGCCCCACAACTGACATAAATAAATAACAACCTAAGTCTGGACAGGCTTCCCCTTGGGTTAGAATATAAGATTAAGGAAGGCTATTTCTCCAAATCATCATTTTCTGAGACATAATGCTTTCATGATTCTTAAGTTTTCTACTTTATGTACGAGCATGAGTCTTACTATTTTGCTTTCTCCAAAGAAACCAGTTATAAATCCTTGGCATTTATTTCAGATGAGCAAGAAAGTTCTGGAGCAATTATTTACACCGTGGAGCTAAAACGCTACGGTGGACCCCTTGGCATCACAATCTCAGGAACCGAAGAGCCATTTGATCCTATAATCATCTCGAGCCTCACTAAAGGAGGATTAGCTGAAAGGTAAAATTTGAAGGAATTGCAACAAGACCTGTGTGTGAGAGGGGCTGCCTTTCTTGCAGCTGCTCAACATGTTCCCCTGTCTGTTTTTCTGTTGACTTTTAAGTCTGCACGAAGGATTGATTTTAAGAGCTTGAGAACTCAAGCTGAGTGCAGACTTGACTTTTGAGGGCATCTTATGGGCAATCAAAGCTGTCCTGGGCTTAGCAGTAATATGACTCTCCGGAAATATATAAACTGACTATAGTCAACTGGAGGTGGTTTTATAGTGTGTCCATTTTGAGAAGAGACTAAAGTTCAGGAAGGTTAAAAGGCTTGTCCAATTCAATTCTGCAAACATTTGCTGAGCCTGTTACCTGACAGGTGCTGTGCTTAGCTGCCATGTTTGGAGGAGAGGATAATACAGGCTTTTTCTTCAAAGATTACAGGAAACAAAGTGTAGTGACCCCTCTCAGCAATACTATGTAATGTGTAGTGTCCATGACCCCTCTCAGCAATACTATGTAATGTGCAATGTCCATTTGTTCCTTGGAACTGAATGAATGCACACACCTCACCCCTTCTCCATCTTGTCCTAACTTACAGTTCTTTCTGAGACATGTTATTAGGCACATGAGATTTGCTCTCCCATGAACCCAGCACAAGAGTGGCTCTCATACTTCATTTATACTGATGCTTGAAGACCGTGATTTGCAAAACAGAGATTTAGCATTGTAGAATTTTAGACCTGCAGCTCAGCTAACATCTTCATCTTTTTGCTGAGGGTACCAAGGCAGCTCAGAAGGTTTAACATTCTGCTACTTGCAGAGACATGTAAAGTATGGTATTCTTCAGACATTTTCCTGTCCGAATATCTATTTAGAGAGACAACAAATCAAATATTAATACTGACTCGATCCAGTGAAGTAGTTCTTTCACAGCTAGTTCTTACAGTAAACTAAAACTATACAGAAGAGAGTATAGAGAATGTTAGTCTATAAATTAAAACCCTTTATGAGAGAGTGAAGAGATACTTTTTCCGGAGAGACTTCCTTAGGCATAGTGAAATAATAGACTAGTTTAACAACCCCTCCTAACCTGTGTGCCCCTGTGTCACCTCTGCTGCCCCTTTGCTGCTGCCCAGCACAGCTCCCACTGCCCCAGAAGCAAGCTGTGATCCGATCACTCAGGCACCAGAAGTCCTGTGAGTTAACTCCTTTGTTCACTGAATTTAAAGTAAGCCAGGCCAACCAAAGGGTTCAGACTTTCTAACCTCTGTCCTGGGTGAGAGACATGAATTTTCACACTATCCCTGCACCCAGTGCTTCTCAGGGGAGCTAGATGTCATAATCACCAGTGTCATACTTTCCAATCCATTGCTTCACATTGGATAAAGATGAAAAAAACTAAGAGTGATTAGTTTGATGGTCAATAATTTTGTTCTATTTTCCTTTTCTATATTTCAAGCATCATGCCACACCTTCACATATGTTTTCCTTTTTAACCCTCAGATCTTCCCTGTGAGACAATGATCCCTCAGGTAGCAGTAGGGAAAACTAATACCAGAGAAATTTAAATAAGTGTCCAGGTAATGGAAATGAGTTCAAATAGCTCTGGCTTATCATTGGGCAAGAATCATCAAATCATCAGCCATCAAGTCGTCATTACACACACACACACACACACACACACACACACCCATATGTGTATGTGTATCCATATATGTATAGACAGACAGACAGACAGACAGATAGATATGTCTGTGCCAGTACTCAGATTCCAAGCTCTCCCTTAGCTTTTCCAGTCAAGGCTCTCACTGCATAAGTGAGCACATTCACTTCTGCCATTTTTAATAGTTAATTTGGAGATGAGTCTATCAGATTTCTCTGCCCAAACTACAATCCTCAGATCTTAGCCTCCTAAATAGTTAGGATTACAGGGTATGAACCACTGGTGTCCTGCTATGCTACCCATTATAAAGTGGTAGAAAGAAAGAGCATTCCGTACATTACTTTTTTTAAACAGAGTTCATTGCCTTGGGACTTTTAAAGGGTTACCCAAATGACTCAGCTTTCTTGGAGTTTAAAAAAAAAATACCCAAGTTCATTTTCAAAACTAATGAAACCAATTTTTCTGATTTTACTTGAAATGAAAGCATAACTCACCACAGATGCAATCGTCTTATAACATTCTCCTGAGAAAGAAAATGAGAAGTGACTTCTAGAGACCCTTGCCAAGTCTTTATTGTTATGAGTTTATAAAGTGTGGTGGGAATTTGTCCTCGGTAGCATGCAGGATATTTTTTTTTCTATCTTCCCTCTTTTGGTCTGGTGTTTCAGAACGGGTGCAATCCACATAGGAGACCGAATCCTAGCCATCAACAGCAGCAGCTTGAAAGGGAAGCCTCTGAGCGAAGCCATCCATTTGTTACAGATGGCAGGAGAGACTGTCACCTTGAAAATTAAGAAACAGACAGATGGTGAGTGGGGCGAGAATCTCAGTTAAGAATTTCCAGTGCATTTTCATCCCTAAAAGAATGTACTAGTGTCTCTTTGTGTTTCTAGAGAAATGACTCTCCAGCCACAGAGTATTTGAATATCTTTAGTGACTCTCATACTTCACCTCCTTTTCTGTCTGTAAAGCCCCGTCAGCATCAAGTCCCAAGAAGTTTCCTATCCCCAGCCACCTGAGTGACCTGGGAGATGTGGAGGAAGATTCCTCCTCAACACAGAAGCCAGGCAAGCTCTCAGACCTGTACCCCTCTACCGTGCCCAGTGTGGACAGTGCTGTGGAATCATGGGATGGGTCAGGAATAGATACCAGCTATGGGAATCAAGGTATGCGAGCATCATCTTTTGCTGAATGTCTTTATTTAACCCGTAGGTGTTTCAGTGCCACAACACTCAAGCTCACTGAGTACTTTAATTTGGCCAGCCTTGCATTCCCTTCTTCCTGTTGATAAGTCATGAACATTTATCAAACACTAACAGGCCCATTAGATTGTCTGATGGCCAAGTGTTCAATGCAGATCATGTCCTTAAAGCTCAAATGGGTATGAGGCAGGCCATAGAATAAAGTGATTCACTGAAGACAGGCCCATTGTCTTTTTTCTTTCTTTTTTCTTTTGTGTAAGCTTTCCACAAAGATGGATTGGGGAGCTCTGAAGCTGTGCATAAGAGATTAGCCAATGATTTGTGATTCCCATTTATTCTTGCCCACCCTGGCTTTAAATAGAAACATGAAGAGGTTTCCCTGAGTAATCATTATTAGAGAGTTGTGGTCATAGTACATGAAAGTATACAGTAGATGTGTCTTCATAGATGTCATCTTGACAGAAAGGGCTTAGAGAACACATCCAAGTATAATGGCTGCTTAGTTAAGGGAGTCTGTATCCAATTCCCTCTTCTCTCAGTTTTTCTAGTTCCCCAGAAGCCTTCTTTTATCTCTGGTAGGTCCTGTGATCTATTAAAATATTTTTATAAAATAAATGTTATTTCAAAATTGTCAAACTGGTAACCTATTAGAGAAGATATGAAGTTTGGTAAAGAAAATATTCCGAATTCCTAATTAGAATTAAAGTTGATCCTTATCTAGAAATTAACTTTCCCAAGTAGTAATACTGTGTGACAACTTTTATAAACCCACAACCAACAGCAGACATTTTTGCCTGAAAACTTATGAACCACTAAAGAACACAGAATGAAAGATATATGTCAAATTTTATCAGAATAGACTCTAGAGTTTCTGTATTAATGTGCATATTTATTTATTTATTTATTTGGAGAAAAATTTTGTCTGAGGACACCATATATATGCATATACATATATATGTATACATATATATATATATATATGTATATCAATGAGTTCTATTCCATAAAGTGGTATGTTAAGTACTTAATTGCTCTAGTCCTTTATACCATAGGTACCAGACCATGATTAGTATACTAGATACAGAGCCTGTCCCTCATCAGTACAAGATGAAGAACCGTGTGTTTTTATAAAACTTTTTAAATGTTTTACCCTAGATCTTTACCAATTTTATTTACCATAGAATAAAAATTATCTTAACAAAATTTCATCCATTTCCAGAATGACCTACATCTATGAAGATCTATTTTTCATTGTACAGATAAATAAAATTAAACATGCTTAGCAAAATGGAATCTAGACTCAATTTCAAACCTGACATTATGACATGAAGTGTAAAACCAGATAATGAAAATAAGTAGCAAAAGAAATAAAGGAAGAAAAAAAGTTTCCACTTCCAATTCAAAGAGTTAATTACTTAAGACATCTATTCTTAAAAGTGACTTTCTTTTATTCAGTTGATTTATGTATCAATTTTTAATTTTACAGTGTCTTTCCCAAAAGCATAGATGTATTTTAATTTCACTACCATTCAGCTAAAACAAAGTATATTTCTGATAGTTGATTTTTTTCTTCTATAATTATCCCCTTCCATCTATGACTTTTAAGTTTGCCTTCTAGGGTAAAGAAGTACTTCTCAGCACCTGCTAATGTCTTTTCAACTATGATAAATAGCTTACATTTACCCAAGCCTCCATGTCCTCGGATATTCCCTATATTATTTAATTTTATTCTTTTTTTTTATCTTTAAGTAGTTGTATGAGAATTTCAATTCAACATGTTAGTTCATGAATACAATGTATCTTATCAATGTCATCCCTCCCATATTTTTCCTCCATCACTCCTAATTCTATCCATCCTCTTAAGTTATAATATTAAATGTACATATGTGAAAATGGAACCAGGTAACGTAAGGGGATATTCCCTATTTTACGTCATAGATCATCATCTATCATTAGTGATTGAATTTTAGCTACACCTATCAAAGAGATTTGAATCTATTCCCTTTCCTGCTCTGTTTTGTGACATGCAGTAATTTTTCTCATGCTCATTAAGACAAAACATTCTTGGGATGGATCTACATGCTTTTAAAGGTCAACATCTTTTAAAGGCTGCACATCTACTCAACTACATCCTTATACTAAGGCCTAAGTTGCCTAGGACTATGTAGGAACAGTGATTGGAACACAAATCAGAAAATTAACCTGCCCAAGTAAAATATATTGGAATTTCCTCAGAGAACTTAATGATCATACAAGTTACTATTTATCAGAAAAAGACAGCCCCAGGAGGATACCACCAGGGAGCATTTGACTCTTGAAAGCTTAAAGCCAGTTAAAGAAAGTATGAAGTACTAGCTTCTCTTAACTTCTTTTGATTTTTTTTGTTATTTTTTTGCCACTCCTGGGGCTTGAACTCAGGGCCTGCACACTGTCCCTGAGCTTCTTTTGCTCAAGGCTAGCACTTCTACCACTTGAGCCACAGAGCCACTTCCGGTCGTTTCTGTTTATGTGGTTCTGAGAAATCAAACCCAGGGCTTCCTGCCTGCTAGGCAAGCACTCTACCACTAAGGCACATTCCCAGCCTTCTTAACTTCTCTTGTAGTAGAAGTGAGAGTTCATATATTTGTGTTAGTTGGTTTGGCTGGGGAGAAGAAAATGAATAGTCATCAAAAGGAACCAGGATAAACATTAGTGTTATCAAGACATTTCCCTTCCAGAGAAGATTTATGTGTTGTTTTTTTTTAATTCAACACTTTTGACAGAAAACTGAACAGTCTCACACAAGACTTTTTCCCAAATAGCTAGCTAGTCTGCAGTTATTTGAGAAAAAGGGAGAAAGTGAGACGTTAAGTTGAAAATATTTCCTCTGTTCCAAAGATTTCGATTCTTAGTGTTCAAAAACAGAGGTTTCATAGGGTATTTTCTGTCAAATATTTGATACTACAGACTGCATTTTCATAGAAAGTATTTGTTATATAGCCAAAGCCATTTCTTACTATCTCACTCATCAAACTAATCAGACATAATTCCCTGCAAACATAATAATGTAGTAGACTTGTTATCCTGACAGCCATCTTACTTCTGAGTTCCAGATCTGTGACCCAGAGGGGGTGGGGGGGAGGTTAAGGGTGTGCATAAAGGCTGTACCATGAGTTTGCCTAGTTGAAATAAGACCAAGAGCCCTTCTCATATGAGCAAGATTCTCCCATATTATCCCTAGATATGACAACTGGGAGTTCTTATAACCCAAAGTCAAGCACCTTCAAAGGTATGAAGTGGATGAGGAATGTGTCTTTGGTTTTAATGTGGAAGAAGAGCAATAGTGGAAGGGAATGTGGGAGGGGAATTGGCAAGCCTCAGACCCTGGCACCGTGTCAGCTATGGCAGGTGAGACTAGCCGATGGCACTTGAGGATCTGAAAACTGATTCTACTAAAATTATGACTTAGCTGCTTGCTGGAAGTGGTTTGAAGCTACTTTTTTAAAGCCTTTGATATCATCTGTAAAGTGCAAATAATATTAATGCCAAAGCTGCTTATGATGAATAAATAAGATGGCACAAACAAAATACTTAGGATAGGACTTGTATATGGTAAACACCCATGTGTGTTTGCTATTGTTATTACTGTTACTACTTCTCTTTAACTGCTCAACTGGTCAAAATGTTACTATTCAGTGGACTGACTAATTTTCAGGCCAAGTTCTGACACCTTGTTTATGTTTTTAGGCACCACTTTTCAGGCCACAGGATACAATTTCAACACCTATGACTGGAGGAGTCCAAAGCAAAGAGGCAGCTTGTCGCCTGTCCCCAAGCCTCGGAGCCAGACTTACCCAGATGTGGGGCTGAGTAATGAAGAATGGGACCGGTCTACAGCCAGTGGGTAAGATTTGCATCCATACTACCTCATCAGACAGGAAGTGGCAGGGGGTCATTTAGGGCAGGATTTGAACCTCTTTGTTCAAATAGAGCATATTGTTATCATGGACTTCTTGAAGTAATTTTGATCATCCAAAGTTGGCCACATGGTATGTTTTGGAATTGTGTATCTCATCAGTGAGAGCCTGGCATTACCAGACAATATGTAAGAGCTAGGTTTCCCAGAAACCTCAGGGAAGAGTCAACTCTTATGAACCCTGTCTTTGCTCTGTGGCAACCAGCCCTTTCTCCTTTCATTTATTTATTTTATTATTATCATCAAGTAGTTGCACAAAAGAGTTGTCATTTAACAAAGCAGTTTATGAATACCATGCATCATTTTTTTAACTTTTTTTAATTGTCAAAGTGTTGTACAGAGGGATTACAGTTACATGAGTAAGGTAATAAGTACATTTCTTGTCAAACTTGTTACCCCTTCCCTCATTTTTCTCCTACTTGATCACCCAGTTCATCATTCTCACCCATCCCTCTCAATCCTACCCCTCCCTTCACTTTTCTTAATTCTGTAGCATATGTTTTGATTTTTGGTGCATTCTCCACCCCAGTTCTTTTTTTTAATACGTTTTTTTATTGTAAAAATACTGTACAGAGGGGTTATAGTTACATGAGCAAGGTAATGAGTACATTTCCTATCAAGCATTGTTACCTCCTCCTTTGTTTTTCCCTTCCCCTCCCTTCCCTCCCACCTCCACAACTACACTCCCCCCTCATCCCCCCTCTCCCCACCCAGCCTAAATTGTAAAGTTCATTTTTCAACATAGTGTCTTGTACATCTCATTGTTACAATTGGTTAACCTGTATCCCTATGTAAGCATTTTGTTTTTTCCCTTCCCCTCCCCAAGCTAGAGAAGTGTATATACAAGATGCAGGGCACTGACATCAAATACAGTGAAAAAACAGGGGTTATACCATGGGGGAGGCACATACAAAGAAACAAAAAAATCACATGGTACATTATAAATACGTTAGGAACAATAGCAAGAAAAAAAACACTTGTGTCCCTATCTTGGGGTTCATTTCACTTAACATCATCTTATCTGGTCATATGTGCATAGCTTTTGACCTTTTCTGCTTGTCCCAGACATATACTAGTTATTACAAATAAGGGAAAACATAGGACCTATGTTTCTTTGGGCCTAACTTACTTCATTTAATATAATTTTTTCCAAGTCTATCCATTTCCTAACAAATGGGGCTATGTCATTCTTTCTGATGGAGGCATAGAATTCCATTATATACATATATATGTGTGTGTATGTGTGTGTGTGTGTGTGTGTGTGTGTGTGTGTGTGTGTGTGTGTGTGTGTGTGTGTGTACATTTTCTTGATCCATTCATCTATTGAGGGGCATCTGGGTTGGTTCCATATCTTAGCTATGGTAAATTATGCTGCAGTAAGCCTAGTTGTGCTGGTAGCTTTAGTGTGGTCTTGTTTGTGATCATTTGGGTAAATGCCCCAAAGTGGATTATGACAACACATGCTGGAAGGGATGTGGGCAGACGGGAACCTCACTGCATTGTTGGTGGGAGTGTAAACTTGTTTAAGCACTTTGGAAAGTGGTATGGAGGTTCCTCAAGACTCCACATGGAGCTCCGTCCCACTTCTTTTCTTCCTTCTTCTACCCCACTCCCCTTGACTCCACCCCACCCCTTTCAAGTACTAATTTTCTGGTGTTTTGTTTTGTTGAACTTTGATTTTTGCCTTTCTAAGGAATTACACTGTTCTCCCCTAAATCTCCCATATTTCAGTTAATACATTTGTATACACTTGCATGTCACCCAACTATTTACTTTTGTGTTTATAAACTGATTCTTACTTCCACATATAACAGAAAACATGGAGCCTTTGTCTCTCTAGGCCTAATGTACCAACTTAAATAATTTTTTGCAACTCTTTTTATTTCTTTTTTTTTAATTTTTATTATATTTTATTGTATACAGAGGTGTTGAAGTCAGGTAATGAATACATTTCTTGTTGAACAGTGTCACATCTTTCCTCATTTTCTCCCAGTTTTTCCCTCCTAAACCCCTTTCCCCACAAATTGTATAGTTCATTTTCAACATAGTATCTAGTGAGTATCACTGCTGAATTAGTTTACCCTTTGTCCTACACTATGCTTTCCCTTACCATCCCCAAAGCAGATAAACTTACATAACAAGACAAAAGGTAGAGAAATCAAAAACAGCGACTAAGGGTGGGGGGGGGGGGGAAACAAAAACAAAAAGTAAAATAACAAAGGAGGAGGTAACAAGCTCAATAGGAAATGTACTCATTACCTTACTCATATAACTGTAACCCCTCTTACAGTATCTTTACAATAAAAAATATATACAAAAAATAACAAAAAACCTCTTGTTTCTATTCCTTGGATTTCTTCTCAATAAACATCACTTTATATGATCATATGCACATAGCTATTGAGCCTTTGTGATCCTCTCCTAAGAATATCCTCCTTGGACACTGTTGAACAATGAACTTTACAATTTAGGGGGGCAGGGATTGTGGAAGTGGGAGAGAAGGGATGGTAGGGGGAAAACAAAGGAGAAGGCAACAATGCTGGGTAAGAAATGTACTCATTACCTTGCTCATGTGACTGTAACCCCTCTATACAGAGTTTAACATTTTAAAGAATAAAGAATATCCTCTTGGATCTCACTGTGAATGTTTAGAATCCTGTTTAACATATCATATCCAAGTGTAATTTTTTTTCTTTTTACTATCTATTGGATTTACTTGTAGATTTATAAGCACCTTCTAATTACTACAAATAATCTGGCTTACTTCACTTAATATAATTTTTTCTAAGTCTTTCCATTTCCTTACAAATGGGGCAATACCATTCTTTCTGATGGAAGCACAGAATCTTCTTGATTCATTCATCCACTGAGGAGCATCTGGACTGATTCCATATCTTGGCTGTGGTAGACAATGCTGCAATAAACATGGTTGTGCTAGTGAGTTTAGTGTGGCCTGGTTTTTGGTCAATTAGATAAATTCCCAGGAGTAGAATTGCTGGATGATAGGGAAGCTCTATGTTTAGTCTTTTGAGGAACCTCCATACTGCTTTCTAGAAAGGTTGAACAAGTTTACATTCCCACCAACAGAGTAGTAGCTTTCCCTTTTGGCCACATCCCCACTAACATCTGTTATTGTTAGTTTTCTTGATAATGGTCATTCTAACTGAAATGAGGTAGAATTTCAATATTGTTTTGATTTACATTTCTTTTATGGCCAGAGATGTTGAATATCTCTTCATCTCTTGGCCATTCTTACTTCTGAGAAGTCTCTTTTTAAGTCTTTAGCCCATTTACTATGTGGGTTGCTGTTTCTTTGAGATTTGTTTTTTTTGCGAGGGGAGGGGGTGGGGGGGGGTAATTTTTTGAGCTCTAATTATATTTTAGATATGAGGCCCTTGTCTGTTCATACCTAGTAAAGATCTTCTCCCATTCTGTGGTTTTTATCTTTTTTTCTTTTTTTTATTGTGAAAATACTGTACAGCGGGGTTACAATTACATGGGTAAGATAATGAGTACATTTCTTATCAAGCGTTGTAGCCTCCTCCTTTGTTTTTAATCTTGCTAGCTATGTCCTTTGCCAGGCAGAAATGCTTCAGATTAATGCAATCCTGTTTATCCAGTCTTCTTTGATTTGTTGTGATTCTGGATCTCTACTTAGAAAGTTTTTTTTTGTTTTTGTTTTTTTTTGGGTCCGGTCGTGGGGCCTGAACTCTGGGCCTTGGCACTGTCCCTCAGCTCTTCAGCTCAAGGCTAGCACTCTACCACTTGAGCCACAGCGCCACTTCCGGCTTTTTTCTTTTTGCTTATGTGGGGCTGAGGAATCGAACCCAGAACCTCAGGCATGCAAGGCAAGCGCTCTACCACTGAGCCACCTTCCCAGCCCCTCTACTTAGAAAGTTTTGACCTGTGCCAGGGAACTCTAATGTTCCCTCTATCCCTTCCTGTAATATTTTCATGGTATCTGGCCTTACATTAAGGTCTTTGCAGTTGATTCTGGTGCAGGGTGATATATAAGGATCTAGCTCGTTTTCTGCACATATACAGTTAGTTCTGCAAGCACCATTTGTCAAAGAGGCTGTCTTCTTTCCATCCTGTGTTTTTGGCTCCCTTATCAAATATTAGGTGGCTGTGGTCTGTGGATTCATTTCTGGGTCTTCTATTCCATTGGTCCTCAGGCCTAGTCTTGTGGTTTTTATTACTACTACTATTTATTACTACTATTATTACTACTATTACTACTATTATTACTACTAGAATTTGAAGCCTGGTATTAATATTCCTCCAGCAGTGTTCTTCCTGCTGATTGTTTGCTATCTGGGGTTTTCTATTATTCCATATGATTTTATTATTTCCTCTATATCATTGAAGAATATTGTTGTTGGGATTTTGATGGATATTACACTGAATGTGTAGATAGCTTTGGGCAGCATTGCCATTTTCATGATGTTAATCCTTCCAATCCAGGAGCATAGAAGGTTTTCCCATTTCCTTAAATCTGCTTTAAATTCTTTTTTTAGATTTTTAAAGTTTTCATCATAGAAGTCCTTCACATTCCTAGTTATTTTTTTAGGCTATTACAAGTGGAGCTGCTTTCCTGATCTCAGTCTTCCTCTTCTCACTGTTGGCATCAGAAAAGCTACTGATTTTTGTGGGATAATTTTATACCATGCTACTTTGCCAAAGTTTCAGATCAGCTCAAGTTACTTGGGAGAAGAGTCTATGTGTTTCTTCAAACATCTGCAAAGAGGGGAAAGTTTTATTTCTTCTTTCCCTATTTGGATCACCTTTGTGTTTGTCTCTTGCCTCAATATCAGTCTCCTCTAGCTAGAAATTCCAGTACTATATAGAAGAGGAGTGGAGAGAGCCAACATCCTGTCTTGTTCCTGATTTTTGAGGAAATAGTTTTAACATTTCACCATTGAGTATAATGCTGGCTATAGGTTTGTGATATACAGCCAAATTCTATTGAGTTTTACATTGATGTTCATCAAAGAGATGGGTTTTCAGTAATCCTAGATGCCCAGGAGGCCAAGATCTAAGAATCAGAGTTCAAAACTAGCCCAAGCTAGAAAGTCTGTAAGGCTTTTATTTGTATTTAACCACCAAAAAAAATCTAGAAGTTGAGCTGTGATTCAACTGGTAGAACACCAACTTTGAGCAAAAAAGCTAGGGGACAACACTCAGACCCTTGGTTCAAACACCAATATGAGTACAAAAAGGTATGTTTTAGCTTGTCATTCCTTAGCAGAATATTTTTTAAAGATAAATTTTTAAAGATAATTTATGTGTAATAATCTTTATAACAATGAGGAAAACATGTTTTTCTCTGATAGACTGTTTTCACTGTAGAATCAATCTCTGAAGCATATCCCATGTTATATTCCATTCCCACTGGGCTATGCTGAAATTCAGTTAGTAAAACTCTGAACCATCCTTTCATTTTTCTCAACACTCAGAATTTCCTTATAGCATTTTTTAGCGTGTATGTCAGGACCAGGGCATGAACTCATGGCCTTGCTCTCTCTCTCACTTGATTGTTTCTGCTCAAGCCTGGCACTGTACTACTTGAGCCACACCTCCAGTCCTAAAACATATTTTTGTTGGGTTTGTTTGTTTTTGTTTGTGCTGATCCTAGGATTTGAACTCAGGGCCTTGGCACTCTTCCTTAAGTTTTTTCATTCAAGGCTGATGCAGTACCACTTGAGCCACAGCTTCACTTCCAGTTTTTTTTGGTGGTTAATTGGAGATAAGAGCCTCACCAACTTTCCTATGCTGGCTGGCTTTGAATTGTGCTCCTCAAATCTCAGTCTCCTGAGTACCAAGCATTACAGGCATAAGCCACTAATACCCAGCATTGTTTTAAAGCATTTTTTTGGAGCTAACTGTACTTAGAAGCCCCAGGTGGAAGGAAGCCATATCCAAAAATGAATCTTTTCTAGCTTTTTTGTGTGAAATGAAGGGAGAGAGGTTCTAAATATAGAAGGGGAGAAAAATACATATCTGTCAAGTTCTTCACCTAGCCTGTGCTTCTTGGTGACAGTTTTGCAGGACCTTCTGACAGCGTGGAGGCTGAGCAAGAAGAGAACTTCTGGTCTCAGGCACTGGAGGATTTGGAAACCTGTGGACAGTCAGGAATCCTGAGAGAACTTGAGGTAGCCTTAGTCCTGCTACTTAACTTTCATTGTTTCAACATTCATTATTTTGGTCCTTTTAAGTTTGCATTGATCACACCAGTTCATTTAAAAGCTTTAACCCCTTTCCACAGGAGAAAGCTGACAGGCGTGTGTCATTGAGAAACATGACTCTCTTGGTAGCTACCCTTTATGTTTATATTTTTGCTTGTGAAGCTTCCTCCCCTACTCCCTTGCCTTCTGGACAGCGATTTGATTTTATACAATGCAGTTGATAGTACTATTTCCCCATTCCCACCCCTAAGCTTACTGACTTGTGGCTTCTGCCATTGCTCTCTGCTAACCCTGATTGTACCTGTTCCCCACAAATTGCTAAAGAGCAAGCTAAGTTTCTAGCAGTGGTGCATTTATTCTCTTAGTTGCTTTAGAAAGGTTTCTTTGGCATGTTTTCATTTGTACCTGGTATAGAAATTAATTTGATCATTAAGAGGAACATAAGAGGAAATTTTACTTTGTTTTTCCCTTAAATTTGATAGCAATGCTGCTGGTGAAAAGGACCAACACTATATGATAAACACATAAAGTATTACATGTACTTTGCTATTGACTGCTGAATTTAAGAAGGAGAAAGATAAAGTGTTCTTTCATCAGAGTCTCCAATTTGCTGATAATAATCACATCTTAGTCTAGGAAGTCCTAGACTGTTTCCTTTTATGTTCTTTTAAATTTCCCAAGCTGAAAACAATGAAGTGGCAAAAGTCTCGTTTTCTTTTTCTTTTTCTTTTGATGTCATATGAGGTCCCCAAGTCACCATAAGGAATGTGAATGGCATAACTGGGTGAAACTTTTGCAATTCTAAAACTATTACTCATCTTTATATTATTTTGCTTCTCAATTGCATGTGTGGATATTTTATGTGACTCTAATGTTTGTGATTCTGCAAAGAGAATTATAAAGAAAAGTATCAGTTTGAATTTATAAACATCATTGTCTTACCTGGCATGAACTTCAGCTTCAGAGCACGGTTAAAGGGCTTGGACATGGATAATCTTACAAAATTTAAATAAAGATGTTACCCATTGATTCTTTTTTACACAACTTTCCAGAAGAACAGAAGGCTTAAGCACCAGCTGGTTTATTTAAACTTTTACCACCACTTGGGTGTAGAATGAGGGAAAGTGGTCCGAACTGAGTAATGAGCACAGTTCATGAGTCTTGTACTTCCTTGGCAACGCTTTTAGTTCACATGCCATTTTCATTTTGTTCTCCATAGCTTCTTTTACATTAGACCAAACACAAATGATATAATAAGTATTATAAAGCTGAGTACTGGGTATTTATGTCTGTAATCCTAGCTACTCAGGAGGCTGACATATGAGGATTGTGGTTTGAAGCCAGCCAGGTCAGAAAAGGCCATGAGTTCATTTTCTTCAGTTAGTCACCAAGAAATCCAGAAGAGGAGATGTGGCTCAAGTGGTAGGGCAAAAAAGCTAAGGGACGGTGCCCATGACCTGAGTTCAAGCCCCAAGTATTCACACACTTGTGTGCTTGTGCGTGCGTGCACATACACACACATACACACACACACACCAAGTAATGCAAGCTGGACAATGATAGCTTATGCTTATAATCCTAGCTATTGAGGAAGCTGAGATCTAGAGGTCAAAGTTTGAAACCAGCTGGGACACGTGGCCCCAATCCACTAGCTAACAGTAGGGCTTGATGGCATGACTTAAGTGGTAGAACAGCAACCAAACAAGCAAGCAAGGTAAGTGAGCACGAGATTCTGGGTTCAAACTCTGGTACTTAGACAAAAATAGTCTTATGAGAAGGCTATGTATACCTGGAACTTGAGTTTATTTCATGAAAACAGTATCTGTTAACTTAGGAGTCATGTTGTGACAACCTTTGTGTACTAACATAGGTCCGTTAGGCTGTAAATTATGAATGTATAAATGTATAGAACCTTACATTTACATAGATTTATAAATTATAAATTTCTTAATTTATTGAAATTCTAACTACAGAAAGGAATTTATAAGCCAAAATGAAATTAAATCCAACAAAGAAGACTATCAGCAAGTTCATAAATTAGAGTCATACTTTTATCACAAAGAATATTCATTTATTAGTTTAACTGAACTCCATTCCCTTGATTAGAATTGCTGTTAGGCACAAAATATTGGAGCTACATTTCTGGATATGAAATTTACATTCAATATTAAAAGTGAAAGGACACTATAGCGATAATAAATGCAAAAGATTAAGCTAGGATCAAAAATGATTGCAACCAAAATGAAAATTAATTACTAATCATTTTCCCTATTACTAGCAATAATTTAGTTTCAACTTTAGCACCAATAGCCATATAGCTTTATTACAAGAAAAGTTCAAACTGAGAATTTGAGCAAGATTTTAACCTCTCTTACCAGATATTTTTTCTATAAACTGTGAAGGTTATAATGAGCAAAACCTTCCATAGCAATTAACAAAGAACATTGTATTTAATAAATGTTCGGTTAAATGTTAGATAAAATCAAGTATTATTATGTCTTCCATTCCTTGATTAATGAATGCTCGTTTAACTTTTTTTTCTGCTTGGCATAGTAGAAGGAGGTTTAGCTAAGTATAAATTATATTTGTGCTTTTAACTTTTATATTTTTGGAGGGATACAGCTAGTCCATTTGCATTTCACTTTAAACAAAGCAATCCAGTCATATTTTAAAAACTTTAATTAAAGAATTATGGAAGAGACCTGATCTCGCCAATTAGAACCCTTGGTAAAACCATTTGAACTCCTTCTAAAGCACCTAGGACTCACTGGCCCAAAACTGTCATCTCCTAGATGTAGTGATTAAGTATTTTACTTCCATTGTGATTCTGGCTGGTCCATGAAAAATGATGTTAAAACAAAATAAGCATAAACAAAGCAGGCTAACTAGTCTAAGTAGGTAAAAATAATAGATAGATGCTCACTTTGGCAGGAAAGCAAACACTGGGTGCTGCCAGGCACAATAAACACAGAAATGATCTATGTAAGTTCCATAAAATAAAAGACATACCATGACACCAACGTAGCTGATTATGGAAAAATCTCATCAAGCTTGGTCCTTTTAAGTTTGCATTGATCACACCAGTTCATTTAAAAGCTTTAACCCCTTTCCACAAGAGAAAGTCCGTGAGACTATTATCTCTAATTAACCTCCAGAAAACCGGAAGTGGCGCTGTAGCTCAAGTGGTAGAGTGCTTGCTCTGAGCTGAAGAGCCGAGGAACAGTGCCTAAGCCCAGAGTTCAAGCCCCACGACTGACCAAAACAAAGGACGTCTTTATGGTCAAACTCACAGTGGAATGAGAAGCTATGTAGCTAGGGAGTGTAGAGCTAGCTTGCTGGGTTCTATCCCAGGTTGTCTGCAATTTGCTAAACTTATTCAGTTATCATCTTTTACCACATTTGAATTAGGGAGGTAGAGTAATTATGATACCACTAGGGTCATTTAAGTGTGAGGTATGCACAACAGACATATATATTAGCATGTATTAATATTCAGAAATCAACAAGGACTTTTTTTGGAACAATCATCTTCTTTTCAGTGAGCTGGCTGACTTAGGCAGAATACTCATGTTTACTTGCTTTGTTTCTTTCTCCACAGAGTTGTTGGATACATTTACATGTGTGCAATTCTTTGCAATTATTCAAAGACTTAGTAGCTGAACACCAGGTAACAGTTAGAGCTCTGAAATCTTAGATGACAAATGAAGTGCTGCTTATTTTGCAGTAAGCTCCCTGATAAATAGTTCTAGATAGCTCCCTTACTTTTTATGTGACCTTGGACAAGTCAGCCTTTGTGCCCAAGTCTCCTGTCCTACATTAGGAATTTAGGAAGAATTGAAAACATCTACCTCATAGAGTTCGTGTGAAGCTTAGGTAAACGAATATGTTCAAAGGGCTCAACAAATAAAGCTGTGTTACTTTCATCATTAGTGTTCATATAAACAGGTGTTTCTTTCCATCACATACATCTGAACTTCTTTTCTGTTCCTATGGTTTCGTACAGAACTACCAATGACACTTTACCGGTATGGAACCATCAGAGCCAAGAGAACAGAGCTGGCTAAGGTCATATTTTTAGGATTTTAGCATGAGACATGAACATCCCCAACAAGATGAAGATTTTAAGTTCTTTTTGTTCTAGTTCTGATACTCACTCATCTCTGGGACCTAATCTTGACATTGCTTTTGAATTATGCAGGAATATTTCTGAAGCTGAACAAACTCCTCAAAACAGCTTTTGAGCCACAGGGTTGAATCCAATAACAAAAAAATTATTATTTTTAACCTCTCTGAAGATCTTACACAAAAGCTATTTCTTTTATCTTCTCTTGTTTTCTTTTATTTTCATTTCCCTCCCTCCCTCCCTCCCTCTCTCGCACTCTTCTTTCCTTCCTTCCTTCCATCTTTCCTTCCTTCCAATGTACTGAAGTTTAAATTCAAGGCCTCATGCTTTCTAGATAGATACTCTACTGCTGAGCCCCAGTTACTTTCTGCTCAGGTGTGTGCTTTAGCCTATGATCCTCCTATTCTCTTTCTACTGCATCATTGCTGCAATGACAACTATACACCACCATACAAAGCTTCTTCCCATTGAGGCAGAGTCTGCAGACTTTCCTGCTATGGCTGGCCTGAGACCAGTCTCCACCACCCACATAGTTAAGATGATAAGTCCATGTCACTGCACCCAGCTGTCGGATGAAAAGGGATCTCCCATACATTTTGCTCAGACTGGCTTTCAAACCATGATTTACCCAAACTCAGCCTTCCAAGTAGCAAGGATCCTAGGCAGGAAGCACAGGTATCTGGCTCACATAGGCCATTTCTAAGAAACACTGACCCATGCCAAGAGATGTGAAAGCCTACCTGATCTACAAGCTTCTGGGTCAGGCCATTTAGCTAGGTGAAAGATAATATAGTGTAGGGAAATTGAAGAGACCTCTTGACTTGCAATAATAACATTCCAGCCCATCATTAGCTCCAGTTGGAAGCAGAGATATTTCCTCCTCCTCCTCCTCTTCTTCTTCTCCTTCCTCTTCTTCTTCTCCTTCCTCCTCCTCCTCCTCTTCTTCTTCTTCTTCTTCTTCTTCTTCTTCTTCTTCTTCTTCTTCTTCTTCTTCTTCTTCTTCTTCTTCTTCTTCTTCTTCTTCTTCTTCTTCTTCTTCTTCTTCTTCTTCTTCTTCTTCTTCTTCTTCTTCTCTTCCTCCTCCTCCTCCTCCTTCTTCTTTTTCTTCTTCTTCTTCTCTTCCTCCTCCTCCTCCTCCTCCTCCTTCTTCTTTTTCTTCTTCTTCTCCTTCTTCTCTTCCTCCTCCTCCTCCTCCTCCTTCTTTTTCTTCTTCTTCTCCTTCTTCTCCCTCTTCCTCCTCCTCCTCCTCTTCCTCCTCCTACGTCTTCTTCTTGTTGTTCTTCTTGTTGTTGTTCTTCTTCTTCTTTCTCTTGTCATGGGGCTTTAACTCAGGGTCTGGTCATTGTCCCAAAGCTTTATTTGTTCAAAGCTAGCACTCTACCAATTTGAGCCACAGTACCACTTTCAGTTTTCTGGTGGTTAATTGGAGATAAGAGTCTCACAGACTTTCCTGCTAGGGCTGGCTTTGAACCCTGATCCTCAGATCTCAGCCTCCTGAGTAGCTAGGATTACAGGTGTGAGTCACCAACACCCAGCTCATTCATTTCTTTTTTTTTTTTTTTTTTTTGTCAGTCGTGGGGCTTGAACTCTGGGTCTGAGCACTGTCCCTCAGCTCTTCAGCTCAAGGCTAGCGCTCTACCACTTGAGCTACAGTGACACTTCCAGTTTTCTGGTGGTTTATTGGAGATAAGAGTTTCACAGACTTTCCTGCCCGGGCTGGCTTTGAACCAAGATCCTCAGATCTCAGCCTCCTGAGTAGCTAGGATTACAGGCGTGAGCCACCAGCGCCCAGCTTTCATTCATTTCTTTTAAGGTGCATTGAATCCCATTTGTGTAAGGTGGCCTTTTGAATCCCAGCTCTTTGAACCCAGTTGATAGAAAGTTAATGTTTAAAATGCAGTTTGTAGTAAGCAAATGTTGGAACTCTTCAACTCATTTTAAAAACTGCTAGAGGTGGTATTTGTTTAAATAAACTCAAGGGCTTAAGTCCTTACATTGGATTTAAGATGTGCATTATAAATGTAACTTACAAAGCGTTTTCCAGACTTTCATAGTTCAATTAGTATGTCCATTCTCCAGCCTTTGGTTATGCCCTGAAGAGACTGTATTTTGACTTTGACTGGGCAGAAGGAGGATTGTGCTTAATGCTGAGCAACCAAATCCTTTCTTTATGCGTGGCTTAATTGTTTCTGAAAATTGTCAATGCCACAGGCAACAATCATGTCGGGGAGCACTATGAGTTTGAATCATGAGGCTCCAACACCTCGCAGTCAGCTGGGGCGACAGGCCAGCTTCCAGGAAAGGAGCAGCTCTCGACCACACTACAGCCAAACAACTCGGAGCAACACCCTGCCCTCAGACGTGGGCAGGAAGTCTGTGACACTGAGAAAAATGAAACAAGAAATAAAGGAGATCATGTCCCCAACTCCTGTGGAGCTGCACAAGGTCAGTCAGCTTATTTTCCTCTCCCTTTGGGCAAATGCAGTACCACTCTGCCTGGTACAGATGCGCTGATGCACCTGCAAGTAATGACATTCTCATGTGGTCTCCGCCTAGGACAAAAAGCCAGAGACGTTATTCTCAAAACAACATCCCTGGGTGGAAAAGGGAAGATCCTTTTTTCCTGGGTGAAACAAAGAAGAATGGCTCTCAAGCAATGTATTTATCAGGGAGTATTTACAACGCAAAACTATAAAAATAGAACAGTGACAGGCCCCAGTGGCTCAAGTCTGTAATCCTAGCTACTCGGGAGGCTGAGATCTGAGGATTGAGGTTCAAAGCCAGCCTGGGCAGAAAGTCCATGAGACTCTTATCTCCAATGAATCACCAGAAAACCGAAAATGGTCTTGTGGCTCGGGTGGTAGAGTGTTCACCTTGAGCTGAACAGCTCAGGAACAGCACCCGGCTCAGAGTTCAAGCCCCATGACCAAAAAAAATACAAAAATAAAATTAGAACAATGAAGCCTGATAAAAACCGTTTGAGAAGGAGGTCAGAGAGAATGATAGAGGTGCTGAGATTAGTTGGAATACATTGGAAACATGTGGAATGGTAGCAATGAGATACCCTCACGCACGCTAAAATTGAGAAGACTTAATGTGGCCACTTTCTTCTAAAGACTTCAGTATCCTAGTACACTATAAAATCTAGCTATTTCATTTGTAGCTGTCAAATATATGTTGAAAGAAAGGGAAAGTATGGGAAGCCGGCTTCGACCACACAGTTTATCCATTTATTTCACAACTAGGCTGTGCGTTCATTCACTCAAAGAAGGTATTGCAAATCCCCAGAGAGCACACAGTCTACTTGGAAACCGGGGAGATAATGAGATCAGTACAATGATAGATGCAAGCCTGGAAGCCTTGGAGTCGCCACCCACCATGAGGGAACAAGAGAGACTTCCCAAACATGGCTGTTGAGTCAGCAGAAGAAGGTAGAAGATGGGAGGCATGTACAAAGGGATAGCAAAGACTGTGATGCTTAGAATGCAAATAGCCACCACGAGGCCTTTGCCTAGAATTGGAGCTGTGTGCATTCGGAGGGATTACAGAAGGGCAAGGATATTTCTGACATTTTAGGCTGAGGACCCCGGGTTAGCTATAGGCCATATGTAGCTTGTTTACCCTATTACCCTGAAAGGATGCTTGGGCTTGGCAATTCATATATCCCAATACACTAATTGACCCACACCATGAGGCTGGAGGAACTCCCACCATGATTAAGTTGAAGAAGCCATAGATTCCAGGTTGAGGAGAGGGCTGGCCCTCCTGATCCCCACACAGCCCATGAACACTGTCTTCCCTCAGTTTCTTCCCAGGCAGAGAAGACAACATTGGATAACACAGAAAGGTTGTATTGATTGCCTACTAAGTGCTATCTGTATTCTGCATGCACACAATAGCCCTTCTCAGCAGGTACTGATTATAGGATGAGAAAAAATAACAAGCATAAAATCATCATTTTTTTTCTCTTTCTGGAGTGAAGCAGGCTCCTCAAAGAACAGGTATTGATGGGTTAGAAACACAAAGACCTGTCTCCCAATTCTCCCTGCACTGAAAGCATGCAGCAGCGATAATGACAGCGAATTGGATGCAGAAGTTGTTAGAGCTGAAGTTTAAGACATGTGGCTCTGTTAAAATTTAGATCTTAATTAAAAGGAAAGAAAAAGTATATGTCTGCTACTGATTGGCATAATGAGTGGCAGTGGATGGACTAATTGGAACATTTATGTGACAGTGTGTGGACTTGGGGGGCCAAAAAATCTCTCTCTCTCTCTCTCTCTCTCTCTCTCTCTCTCTCTCTCTCTCTCTCTCTCTCTCACACACACACACACACACACACACACACACACACACACACACACACACAGATGGGCCACCTTGACCTGATAAGTGGTATTTCTGTTCCCCTTTCATCTCATTGATTTCTCCTAAATCCTGGCAGTAAGTGCTTTTCCCATGCAGTTTCACTTTTCTTCTGTCTGCTCCCCAGTAGAGTAATGTTTTCAAAGTGTTATCCTGGCCTAATAAAGCCCCTAAAATTTCCTTGTTGAGACTGGTACTGTGGAACTCATGGAGGAGCTTATGCTCACATTTCAGGTATGTCCTTTTTAAAGGAATTCAGTTGTTCAGTTCAAGTATTCAGGTTTGGTGTAAGCTATCAGAAATGTACATTGCTGAGCACTCTCCAGTGCTGAAGCAATTGAGAATGGAAATGGTAGGAAAGATACTGACCTGAAAGTGATAGCTGTTAATTGTGCTAGTTTCTTATATGTGGGTGTCTTTTGAACATGGAAAGATTACTTGGCATTGAGAAAAATCATACTGAGTTGTTAATGGAACTGACCGTTGTTGAATATGACTATTGTCCTATCTTAAACTTGTGTGATGGCATGAAGAAAAAGGGATGGGGAATTAGAAAAGTTCTACCCGCTTCCAAGTTGAAGACAACCCATGCTGAAGTCTTGGCAAGCAGAACACGGGCTGGTTTTCAGTACCCCAAACCCCAACTGGAAGCCATTCTTGAACAAATCTATTGGGAGGATTCCAACAAGGCTACAAAGACCAGTGTGGATAGGCCGGGTGAGGCAAATAACAAACCATACTGAACACGTGTGGTGTTATTTGCCTGTTTCCGTCATTTAGTTGAAGTTTGGGCTTATTTATGTCCAGGCCAGCACCTGTAAAATCTATGTCACTTATATCTTCATCAAGATAAGATTTCAGCAAGAAAAACAACTAAATACACAAAGATCCATCCCATTGAGGGAAAGAAAATAAAAGGGGGGAAAAAAGCTGAAACAATACCATTTCCTTGAAAGGTCACTAACATCATCTACACACAAGAAGAATGAAGTGCTGGCTTACCTACCACTTGCATCTCAGCCTATTCTCCATCATTTGTTCCTCGTTTTCTACCCATGCTTTCCTTCCAATCTTTTTCTTCCTTCAGACCTTTGGAAGGTCCCAATCTCTAAATGTTTTTCATTCATTGTCTGAAGCTCCTCCCATCTGGGCAGACTTTCCTTCAGATTGCCCACATTCCCTCCTGAAGATGGAAATCTAGTTGTCATTCCTGACTTTATGAATAGAGACATGCAGCCTGTCCTGGTTTTGTAAAAGTAGGTGGTAGTTAGCACTGAAGTGATTTAGTACTTAATGTGGGGAATAGAGGGAACGATGAAGAGGTCCAGGAAAAGTGATGCCAAATCCCCTTAGGACATTGACACTTGGCGCAGGTGCACAGGCCAAAATAAATTGTACTCAAAATGCGTGCATGCACATGTGTATGTGCACACACACACCATGTAGTAGAGTCCTAAGTTCTATCCTGACTTATTTTCAGGGAATGTGAGTCAATGACCTACATTTTAGCAACCCCCTTCAGTGGACTCATCGCTGACTGGAGAGCGTGAAACACTTCATATGTGTCGTTAACTGCAGGTGCTGATTGCTGTGATTCAGTGAAATTCAGGCAGCAACAGGTGGCAGGCTGAAAAGAAAAAGAGACTACATCTGGGCCCTGGAGCTTCCACATGCTATCTCTAAAATGAATTCTGTTTTGAACTTCAGCTTATCACACATTCTTGCTCTTTGCAGATAAGGAGCGTGTGATCTCAGCTACACTTCATTGATAACCTTCTTTTCCTGCTGAAGTTTAAATATCCCTTGGTGTGCACTTCATCTGTGTCTCAGATGAATTCTCAGCTTCACTTCCTTGCACACCCTAATACAAAAAAAATCTTTTGTGCACAGAGGAAGGTTTTTCATATTAAAAGCACTTGAACTTAAAAAGGAAAGTGAAAATTGACAAGCACTGGTGGCTCAAGCCTGTAATCCTAATTACTTAGGAGGCTGAGATCTTGAGAATCACAATTTGAAGCAGGCCTGGGCAGAAAATTCCATAAGACTCATATCTCCAATTAGCCAGGAAAAAGCCAAAAGCGGAGTTATGGCTCAAGTGGTAGAGTGCCAGTCATGAAAGAAAAAGCCAAGCAAGCATGAGGCCCTGAGTTCCAGCACCAATAGTGGCGCACACATGCGTGCACACGTGCACACGCTGGCACAAACACACACACATATATATGCATGTTGACATTCCCTTATCTTCATCAATCAAAGTTTTCAATAAAATTATGTTTTGCAATTCTATGCAGTTATTTTTGTTTATCTTTTTTCAGAAAGGCTTTTAAAATAATTTCATAATTTCCCAGAGCCTGCCTTTATTTATAGCTGTTAGTGGCACAAAGCTGGGACATCTGAATCACTTATGAGGAAGCTGCTGCTCACATCTGTTTTTGCCCACATCAGCTCTTCCAGCAGACAAGGTCACTTTGTACTTGCAACATCTGAGTTTACAGACAAGGGAATTTTGCTCTTCTTGATGTGTTAAAGTTGTTTGGTTCGGTGGCTGAGCACCAGTGGCTCCCACCTGTAATCCTAACTACTCAGGAGGCTGAGAAATGAGAATCACAGTTCAAAGTCAGCCCAGGTAGGAAAGTCCCTGTGACTCTCTCTCTCTCTCTCTTTTTTTTTTTATCCCTGAGACTCTTAGCTCCAACTAAACACCAAAAAAAGCTGGAGGTGGAGCTGTGGTTCAAGTGATAGAGTGCTAGCCTTGAGCACAAAAGCTGAAGGACAGTGCTCAGGCCCTGAGTTCAAGCCCCAGGACCAGCATTACATATATACATATATACATACATACATACATGGTTTGCTCTGTGGAAAGAGTCTAATGCTTTGAGTCAGGAACAAGCCTGGAACTAAGAGGAAATATGAACTAAAAAGACAACTTTTTCTTGCATGTGGATATTTCTTCACGCAATATTAGAAGTCAACACTCAAGATCATACAAGCCCTCATGCCAAACACAGTTCTCCAAATAACTAGTACAGATCTATCTGCGGTGGAAATCATTAAAAGGTAAAAGCAACACAGTAAACATGGGA